CCCTCTTTCTCTCTTAGTAAATCCTCTCCTCGTGCCCTACCCTGTTCTGCTTGTTTCTGCGGTTCAAGATTGTGCCACATGATCTGAAACGTAGGGAAGAAGGGAGTGATGGTGAGAGGATTCACGGGATCGAATCAAGTTACATAGTCAAAATTCAAAATTGCGATAGAATTCCAATGACAAAGGACGAAGCTTCGAATATATGCCGTGAAATTCTATTATACCTTTCATATAATAATGTAAATAACGTAAAGTTTATCGAATGATTAAATTCTAATTTCAATAAAATATTTATCAACTTTCATTTTCGTTTGATCGCGATATATTTTTTTATTTGCCTAACAGTCTATGACATTATATTTAACAAAAATAAATAGAAAAGATTAACTATCAAAGTTGCGATCTTAGAATGTAAATGGAGAATAATCACGAATGGCAGTTCTGAACTAACCTACACCATCCTTATCTACCTAATAATGATAACGATATCCGGCAATTAGAATACGCCATTTCTTTTACACCTTCATCGATTTTTATCGTTTTTACTTGAGCACAAATGTTATATCATTAACTTTTTTTTTATCGCTTACCTGTTATTAGTTGCTAAATATATCTAAGTATTAAGTGTTCTAGGAAATTTTTTATCTATTAACCGGAAAAGATTTCACTAAAAAATATAACTATATCTTCCTTAAATAGATAGTTATATTTTAATCCTAAAATTGAATGTAATAAAAAAATAATGTATGTAATCTATTTAAGTATATTTTTTTTTTTTGTAAAATAAGACAAATAAATGAATGAAGACAGAAATAATAAGTACCTAAATATTATATTAAATATTATAAGAAGTTCTCTGTCTGGAAAAAACTTCAACAAAAAATATAACTATATCTTTCTAGATAATTATATTTTAATTGTAATGAAATCGATGTGGTAAAAAATATAAATAATGCATTTAAGTATATTTTCTTTTTGTTGTAAAACACGAGACAAATACGGGAATAATAAATAAGATTTGTATTTATATTTGCATTATATAAAGATTTTTTTATGAATTTCCAAATGTTTATACTCTAATAAAAAAGTTTTCCATGAAATGATGAATGAAAGGTAAAAATAATGAATTGTGGTTCATAATTCTATTGATAAGTTTTTTCTTTTATTTTAGAGAGTTGAATCTTTATCACTTCGAGAACGACAAACTTGCTTGTTACATTATTACGCGGTGGTTTCGGAGGATATTAATATTTCATCAAAGATTCATGTATTTTCGCGTGCAACGTTTCCATTGATCGATCATAGAAAATAACTTCGATCTTCCGCCTTCCACGATCGAGACGCGTCTTAACTCGAGCGTTGCGAGTCTTCAACCGGATGTAACGGTATTGAAAAGAACTACTACTTGAGAAACTATTTCTAACTCTTGTATATAATTCTTTTGAATGGATTGCTTAGAATAGAATAATTGAAACTTGTAACTCGAAATGAAGAATAGATAATTTGGCAACAAAGAAAGATAGATCGTGGAAAGTTTAACTTTTTTTTTTGATCGATAATCAAAATTTAATTAAAAATTAATTTTAAAATTTAATTTAATAAATTTAATAAAATACAAAATTTAGATGTAAAGAAAAAAATTTGATCAGAAGAAATGATGGGTGAAATTATACTATTTTTATATACTAAATTTTAAATCTTAGATTACAATATTGTGAATGCAATACAGAAGCGTTTTCGACAGTCCATAGTTGCATTGTATACATCGATCCTTAATGACTATTTCTTCACAGATAATAGGCCTGTAATAACGGAATAGCCAATAAAGTATATCCTGTCGATTTAATCGTTATCCCTATAGCGTACTACGCACACAGAGATTGGATCGGTGATTTCACGCGATGTTTCGTAGATCGTGAAGCGTTTGCGTGATCCGCGCGTTTTGCGCATTCTCGTTCTCTCTACCGTCAGAAAGAGAAAGGGAGTGGGGATAAAAAAAAAAGAGAGAAGATACTCGATGCGTGTTCAACTTGCCGCGGGAAACTTTAAAGAAGGTCGATACAACAGGAGATGTAATTTTAAATATTGGCCATTGGTGTAGAAGATTTAGAATAGGAAAGATAATAAGAATAAAGTCTAACTTTCTTTTTCTTTTTTTCTTAAATTTTTATTTTATTTATTTAGAATATTTATTTCGATAATTATTTACAAATTAAATAATTAAAATTCCGTGTGAGATAAAAATGATTTGTGTGTATATAAAAAGCAAGTCAGTGTTTATCATCGTTGATGTAAAACACAAATACGTACGATTTGTTACAATTTTGTAACGAATCCTAATTTAATAATGAAAAATTACAGTTTTGTATCCGTATTCTTTAAATCCTATTATGAGAGTTAAACGACTGGAAAATATACCGTCTTGCTACTTAAGGAAGTAGTACTAAGGAAGTAGGTCGTAAAAGACTTTTGTATTCGAGCGAATTTTTTTTATCGTGACAATTCGCTTTTTTATTCGACTCTTGTACTTTAATACGTGGCACGTATAAAATTATGATCTAATAACGTTTCGACTTAATTAATAATTATTCTATATGAAAATGAAAGATTTTAAAACATTATTTAGATTAGGAATACAGAAATGTTTTGAAAACAAGGAAATTATTCGAATTATTTTGAACGAGTTTATCTATAGTTTGTTATACAGATTATATATGTATATTTTTCCTATTTAAATCCGAAATATATTTTTTTCTATCTATATATATATATATGTATTTAGCATAAACAACGGTGCATTTATGAATTCTTTTTTATTTGTTTTTATTTCTTGATTGATTTAATAATAAAATTTTTATAAAATATAAATAAATATAATACAATAATAAATAATATAATATAAATAAAATTTAAAAATTTTATAAAAAAAATGTCTTTCTACACTTTATAATTCTATCTTTTAACTTCTAATATAATAAGTAATATATACTGTTTAACTTAAACATCTTGAATAGGAACATTGGAACGTTTTATGTTGCCTAATCATTTAAATAAATACTCAAACAGTTAAGCTCAAAGCGTGGGAAAGAGTTTTTGGTTTAAGAATTGAAAATGTGATTTTTGTGTATTCAACCAATTAGGACAATGATCGAAATTAATAAAAGGCGTCTATCTAAAATATTATGTATACATAGGACAAATGAAATGATGGGAATCAGTCACTTGTTTCTTTTTTGTGGCATCTACTTGATCGTGTACATTGAAAATTTTATTTTTGTTTATTATAAAATTGAATAAGAAATTTTTCATCTTTTACAAAAATTAAATCTCCAAACAATTGAAAGGATAATTATTATTTTCTTGTTTTAATTTTATCTATCTATTTTTTTATGATCCTAATACACGTATAATCGATTAATTATTTTCTTTCAATCTGTTTCAGGAGGAGCATCTCGGAAGCCATGCCGGCTAACGAGTTCTCTGGACATAGAAGCAGACCAAGGCTGCAACCACCTTAACGAACCGCTATTCTCACTAGCAAGGTCATCGGGCGGACCGGATCTAATCATGCTCACGCCGACTATGTTTCCTGTGCTCTCGTTCCTCCTTCTTAACGACGTGAGGCAGAAGATCGAACGTTAAAAATTTCGACTTTGAAAAACCATTTGTTAAAATTCAACATCATTTAAAAGCAAAATAATATAAGAAGAAACAATCCATCGATCATTTCAAAAAGAGGAAACGAGTCAGGAAAAGAAATATTATTGATGATATTGCTCTCATTGCTCTTTGAGAGCGCGAATAAATTCTTAGAGGTAAAAACTAATCGTATCGAATAATCGAGAAAAATATTTGGTGTGATTATTCATACCAATGATTTTATTAACATCTCCCTTGTGGAGAAGCGTTTAATTTCCGTTTTTACGAGTTGTAGATAAAAGCTGAAATGATGAACTTATTAACGAGATAGTTAGAAATGGATATAGAAAAAATATTTATGTACGAATATATAATTCAATACTTAATTAATTAAAATGTAATCAAAGAACAAAAATAAAGTGGGACCAAGTATTTATCTAAGTACAATAATTCTTTTATTTACAATTTATTAAGAGAACTTGAATAAAATAACGTATTCTTTAAATAAAAGATAGAATAATCATGCCTTTAAAGACGATGGTCCCTGTTCTCATGCTTCGTTACAAAGTAATTCATCTAAACTATTCTGAAGCATGAGCTGAAAGGTAGCTAGAAATGTAGACTGCTTATTGAATACCGTCGCCATGGTGGAGCTGGTGTGTAGCAACTCCCTAAGTCCAGGAACCTATTCATGTGTTGAAAAATTCGTAAAAGAAGAAAACCAAAAAGAAAAAGCAAAAAGAAATTCCGCACAGAAATTCGAACGTTTAACGATAACTAATTAGAAGAAAAAAAAAAAAAAAAGAAAAAAAAGAATTTCTAAAAAATTTTACATTAAAAAGAAAAAAAAATTTCCAACATCGAAAAGATCACATGAAACGTATCCCGCGTGGTGCCATGTAGAGGAGCAATCTTCCTTCTGACAATCCAGCATCGAGTAATGCTGAAACACATCCTGACGGGGCAACCGTCGTCAGCGGGCTCCAGGCACCAGCACAATGATTATCAAGCGAGCTCGGGCTCGTTGCACGGCGGCCACCATCATCACCATCATTCCAGTCACCAACAGGATCAGCAGCAACACCTTCATTACAACCAAAGTAACGTTCGTGGAACAGGAAGCCAAGGACGGGGAGTCGACGTTTACGACTCTGTAGTCCATCAGAGAGGCAATGTGCATCAAGCTGCCACGACGCCATCATCCACTCACAGACACCCTTTGAATCATTCCCAATTGAGCGTGAACAATCTGTCCCAACGATTAAATCATTCCCATGCCCTTAACTTGTCTACGTTGTCCACGTCGAAGCATTCGGTGAATAGTGTTAGTCCTGTCGGTGGTGGAAACAACAACAACAACAACAACAACAACAACAACAACAACAACAACAACAACAATAATAATAACAACAACAACAACAACAACAACAACAACAACAACAACAACAACAACAATAATAATAATAACAACGTGTCGACTTTGGGACATACAATAATATCCCAGGTGCCGTTGCATCAAGATAGCAGACCCAAAGCGAATGGAGGCTTCGATATTTCAAGACTGTCCAGGTTACCCAGTCAGACGACACCTTCACCTGCACCTGTTCTCCAAGGTACGACTGTCGGCGGTCAGTTGACCGGTGCTGGTTCTACGGCGTTCCCGTTGAACGCTTCCTGGTCCTCGTCCCTATCGAGGAATCACAAAGACCACGAGTCCGGAGCGAAAGAGACGTTGACCAGTTTAGGCTTGTTGTGTCTGGTGTCGTTATTATTGGCATTACTCTCGTTAATCTTCTTGCTGAAGATTTCACCGTTAACGGTGACGCCGAGTAGCCTCATCAGCCCGGAGGAATATACGATTGTGTACGAGGTGACATTGGCGCTGTGCGCCCTCGCCCTCTCCTTGAATCTTTGTTGTCTCCTCGTTTGCGCTATACAGTTCCTCTTCACAGTGAAGCTTGTCAAGACTTCGTATCAAGGACACTGGTGAGTAATATTTTTATTCTTTTATTCTTTTACGGATTAACATTGATTTTAAATATCGTTGTTCTATTGCCAATTATTTCTGATCAAGTTTAATTTAATAATAATAATTTGGTTTATCATTTTCACTAATGTCATTTTGTTTCTAATCAATATTTATTATATTCATAATTCCAAGATTAATATATATTTTTAAGAATAATATTATAGTTAAAATGATTGAAAAAGCATTAGAAGAAACATTTGAAAATAAACATATTGATTTAATATGTCGTATCATGAATCTTTATTCAAAGGTTCGTGATGTAATTGTTGTGTTATTGACGTATATTGTTCAATTACTGTAATTAAATAAGAAAAGTTAAATATCATTGAATAGAATGATTCAAATTATAAAATAATAATTTAATTTATGAAATAAGCCAACAAATAGTGTGAGAGATAAAATAACATGGATTAAATTAAAATAAAAAATCATTCTTCCACACACTACTCTTTATAAACTTTAATAAAAAGACCTTAATTTAGAAAGAATCGCGTGGTAACATTTTTCCAGTAATCCAAGGAAAAATGAAAGAAGAATATGCAGGATTCGCGGTTGAACGACAATTAATTTTTATAATCTCACGTTACTAGCGACATCTTCAATCAAGATTATCCTTATGTACCGGATTATGAGTTCTCATTCGTCCATGCGTGGCCTATCTGTATATGTCTGGAACAAACGCAGTGTCCCGTATCCTGATGCGATATATCAGAGATTCTCTAATGTTTCTTCTCACGCGGCCTAGAAGACGAAACGCAAAAATTCACGTCCTGTAGTCGACATGTATATATTAACTGACTGCGTGTTCCGTTTTTACCGACGAAACACGCATTTAAACATATATATACAATATTACAATACATATAATGTATATTTCTTGATGCGAATTTTGAAAATGAAAATCACACTTTTACATTTCGTTTATTTTTTACATATCATGCTTCATGTTATATTTGTTATTTTTTTTTTTTTTTTATATTATTATCTGTATTTTTCGAATGTGTAATTAAGATTTCACTTTTTTTTTGTGAATTTTTAATTAACATATTATTTCCATATTCTTTTTTTTTGTCTTTCCGTAATTCATTTAATAATTTTATCAACGAATTTATATATAAAAATTTGTAAAAAAAAAAGATGATTGAATATATATATAAAATTACAAAGAGAATATGGATATGTTAATTTTTGTCGTACAACTTGAAAGCCAAACATAAGCCTTTTTAAAGGCGATACTCCTCTATAAGATCCAATCTGTTCGAAGGTTTCCTTATCGGTGGTTGATCGGTTTTTTTTCGTTGCTGGCTGAGACAAAGCAAGCATTGCCGACTCTAATTATCAGCGAAAGGAAAGGCGCGTTAAGTTATGTAGATTGACCGAAATCGTCGGCCAAATCACTGTGATTACTCTCGACTCCGGACATGCCATTTTGAGTTTTCTCTGGTTGTTTAATTCCGTTCTTTTTGTCTCGTTTATCTCTTTTTTTTTTTTCAATGCCAATCCTTTATTATGTGACGAGTTGATTCGCGTGGGAAAATGTTATATGCCATTCAACAAATGAAAAGATATTTGTTTTTTAAAACATTATGTGATTGGTGTATTGAAGTTTCTTATGAATGTTGCTTCGTGATTAAGTTGTTACAAACATTATCGTGTAATAAAGTTTTTAAGTGTACAAGAAAAGACGAATTTTATCCGTCTCTCACGTACATTCATATGAGATAGTCCGTTATAGGTTAGGACAAAGAATAGGAAGAAAGACAGTGACTTTTATGGAGAAGAGATTGAAAAGTGTAAAGTAAAATTTTTAAAAATTAGGATTCGTTTTCTTCTTATAAATATAAATTAAGTATTTTAATTTTCAATATTGAGAAATGAATTAAAATTAAAATAAAAATAAACTCATTCGCAGAACAACAATAATTATAAAAAACTTGAAAATATCACTGAACATTTTATGATTTGTTTTCAATTTTAGTCATAACAATTATTTAAACAGAAATATAATGATGTTCTTTCGTTTTTCTTGTTATTGTTAATATAATGAATTGTTCTGTTTTATCTTCTTTTTGCATCAACGAATGCAGTTATTGCTTTTAATATTTTGTTCATTTTCATTGCTCATCTAGGGAATTTATTAATAACTTTAAAGAAAAATCTCAAAATAATAATTTTTTTAGAATATTGAATATATTCCATCATTTAATATATTTTTAATGGAAAATCAAGAAAAAGTTTAAGAATATTAAATTATCTTATGCTTAATTAAGAATGTATAGTAATAATAAAGATAATTTTTTAAATTTTAATAATAAAAAAATTCGTTTAAAATGTTTTTATAATTCGTTGTTTTATAAAATGACGTAATAACGACCATATTGATAACTCGACGAATATAATAAAATTTACAATGCATATTGTTGCATAGACATAAAATTGATCGAATATATGATTGATCGCATACATTCTAATGTTACGTTACAACGTTCATTATATCGATACGCTCATGTGGTTGAACTCTTATCGATCATTTACTGACACGGTTATTTCTATAGCGACAGTTGTGATCATGACTATCATTTACAATTGTCTACGATGTTATTGTGCTGATATAATATAGTGTATTCGAAAGGTAACCAATTAAAATTGTAATATCAATCTACGTTTCTCGTTTTTTTTCCTTTGCTTTTATTTTTTTATTTTTACTCTTTTTTGATTGTTTTTCTTGATTTATTTTAGAGATATTTTAAACAATTTAAAATTTTGCTAAATCTATGAATATGGAATGTGTATAAACATGTCTTTCTATTTAAAAAACATTTAGCTAGAAGAGATAATTTAGCGTTGATGAATAACTTTTAATGTTTTCGTGAATTATTATATAAAAATATTCAAATTATAAATTTACTAAAAATATAAAATATTCCAATTTAAACTTTGTAAAAAAAATATTATAATATAATATAATATAGTAAAAATTTTTATTTTAAATTTACCAAAAAAAAATATCAAAATATTAAAATCATTGTCTCAAAAATTCGTTTCATCAAATCAAGTCGACTGCCAACGAAAGACTAAATTCAAGAGGGTTCTTGGATCGCGTTTCTTTATACACATCATCGTCTAGCCGTAGCCAAAGATCGTCCGGCTGAAGATAACTGCGAAGTCTGCGAAGTGGCATTGTTAGTAGAGGAAAAGAAGCCCTCTGGGATAGCAGACGTGCTCCGAAAGAAGCACGAGCTTTAATGGCGGTTCCCAGTAGACGGTCGTTCCTCTTCGCTTGTTCATTGTCACTCGAAGCTTCAGTACTCGTCTCACACCATACTACGAATTCTGACAATGAGACTAGAGGGCTAAAAAAGTCAAGAATATATACGACGAGGAAGATGACGATGACGACGATCATAGAGATATAAGAAGAATGAAAGACAAGTGGCACTGTTAAGTGCCAGCTCATTACTTAAATAGTGATAAGGGATCTCTAGTGTTACTAATCCGAACACGCAGCAGTAGACTTTTCAAATAACTTTAAACAGAATGGCTGCTGCTTTGCGAATAAGATCTATTCTTCGACGCTAGATGGCGTTTTCTTATTAATATTTTTTTTTCTTAAAGATTTTATGTTTGAATGTCTTCAATAATTCAAATTTATCGTGAAAATTGTTAATAGATCGATTTGAATGGATTATTGTTTTGAAGTCGAAAATTGATTGTTTATTTTGAATTGAAAAGTGATTGAAAAGAGTTGAGAAGGTTAAATTGGAGGGAAAATATATAGGATAAATTAAACAACAGAATTATATAGGTTATTGTTTGAGTTATTTTATGTAATTACTTTGCAATAAATTAAATCCTTATAAATAATTATTAATGAAATAATGAAATGTATAATATACATAACATTAACAAAACAACAAATTAATAATTATCTATAAAATTTAATATTTAAAAATCATTAAAATTATGAATGTTTTCATCTTATTCTTTTGTATTATTTTCATTATTAATTTAATAAAAATATAATTTTATAATATAAAAAAATTGATTTGTAACTAATATCGAATTACTATGTTCATTTTTAAAGTTACTTATATGTTTGAATGAATAGTTAGATTAGTGGATGTTAAAATGATGTGTTAAAATTAGCGGTCGAATCGGCTAATTTGTGAGAAACTGGCTATAATGTGTTCTTAACTTAAAAGATGGTGGCATAACGTAGCTTCGAATGATCCGTGAAGCTCCACGATTCGAATCTGTCATTAAAAAAGCCCATCCGTCGCGGAAGTCTTGTTCGTTTTTCATCGACGACCGGGTTTAATGTTACAGGCGTGTCTGGTTTCTGTTCACGGCAGTTCTTCGTGCGTCAGAGCGGCCAAGCATACGCGTGCGGCCCTTCGTCTTTCCTTAAGAAAGAGATAGGAGAGTCTTTCGTGGCTGTTGGCATTCCACACCTTCGAATCCGGCGTCTGGAATTTTTTTCCCCGACACGGGGCACTGGGGAAAGGGAATAAATTTGGCAGGCCATGACTGCGCCTTAATATTCGAACAAGAAAAGAGAGAGAAATTCACGTGTTTCTAAATATTTGTAATTTATTTTTCGATTAATCTCTGATCAGCAATCGATAATTTTGATGTTTTCAGGTTCAAATTAGCAAAATTGAGAAGAAATTTAAAAAAATTTGCATGCTTAATTTTTTTTTTTTGATAGGTAAAATATTATTTTTTTAATAGATTTCATGTTAATATATTTGAATTATTTTATGTATAAATATTTTAATTTTTTTTTCGACACAAATGTAATTTTGTGAATATTTTAATTTCTTTTCCATGTAAACTTAATTAATTATAAAAAATTTAATAAGTAAAAAAAATATATATATATATTTTAATAAACGTAGTAATCTTTAAATATACAATGTTTAAATTGATGTGTCAAAGCTATTAGTCTTTTCTACGC